CATTTGTATCAGGTCAACAAAACATGAGCATAGTAACAATATTTTTATACTACATTTATCCATTTTAAATATACTAACCTCACTCATTTGTAACAACTAAGGCAAAAATGTAATCACCGGTAATTCAGAAAATATTTTCAGGACCCCACCTTGAAGTTTTGGGACCCCACTTTGGGTCCCGACCCCAACTTTGGGAAACACTGATCTAGGGGGCACCACAAATGAGGGACAAAAACTTTTTATCAGAGTATATTTGATTTAGTCTGCTTTGTTGCTACATGAGGCGTTATATGGAGCAGAGGATATTTTGTAATAAAAGGATCATATAATTCAGTCAAAACTACACAGAGAAAAAAATAAGGATAATAGAAGTTACAGTTATGATCTCAGATAAAGTTCAGGTTAAAGTCTGGTTTTCAGTGTCCYATCTTCRTGAATACTGGTTTTATATTGTTTTATTYATCCCAAGAATTTACTAAAACATTTTTCAAATGGCTGGAAAATGCATAGTTTTCCAAGGGAGTATACCACTGGACCCCCCTAGAGCTGCTTCACTCCACAGCTGCTCGTTAACATGAACAGGTGTTCCTCATCGCTGTCGGCAGGTGTTGTCTTCTAGTATTCTGTTTCAAAAGAATTATATTGTTAACTATTTTTAATTGGACAACTTGGTTTCTAAAGATAAAAAAATATATCAAAGACAAAACAGTTTTATTTGGTGTGTGAATAGAGACAAGATTTAGAAAATTGCACAAGGGGTGCCACCTGAAATCTCACCTAAGGCACCAAATTAGCAAAAGTTCACTTAACTGTAATTTTACACATAATCTGCAGAGTTTCAACTCTCAAAAGAGCATAAAAAATGAAAAAAAGTGTTGTCTGTTCGAGTAACTTCAGCCGATTGTTTTACRGCTTTAGATACATGAACATTATCTGTAGTCACTCTGTCATCTGCAGTCAAAAAAAGGYCATTTTGAATTAAAGGTGCTCATCACAAACAATGAAATCAAAAATAAATAAAGGTAATCATGAACTGAAGCAAATGGTGCARTTTGAARAGGTTTACTGCAGCAGTTTGTGTAGATATAAAYAATACGCAATTATGAAATGCGGGTCTGCACTTGATGTAAATAAAGCACTTTTGTTGGCATATTTAACTAACAAATGTTTGGTTTTTATAACWGCCTTCTTGTAGCTGTGGTTAACTGTCTGACTTCTCTGTGATCAAAGTAATAAAATTGGTTAATTGGATGTTTGGTTCTTTCTTTGGTGTGTACGTTTAGTCAAGGATTTTTTTTCTCAATAAATCTAAATAAACTGCACGGAGACCATCATCATAAGGAGAAGGTGRACTGGACTTGTGCTCAGACCAGAACCTTACCTGCACAGTCCTACACTGAACACCAGAAGGCAAGAAAGGCAGACCAATGCGTGAGCTAATAGTCTTTCAAAAGCAAAACTACAGGCAGTTATACCATCCTGTCACCTGTAGAGGGCAGACTAACACCTGTTTTAATCCTAATCTACTGTTGGTGACTCTACATCAAAAAGATAAATATTTTATTAGGTGATAACAGTGCGATGTACTGGTTATTATGTTGTGAATCGCAGTTTAAACATAAATAACCAATGCCAACAGTAGAAACATCAAGTCTAGAATGTCTTAACTTGTCAAGACTTTGTTGAACTATAGACAACCTGATGGAACCAATGATACAATAACTATAAACATTTACATGCTGAGTTTATTCAAAATGAATATTAATAAAAGTAACAGGTAATTTGTTAGGTGGAACTGTATACTCATAGTAAAAACTAATAAGGCCGAGCTAACCTACAGCTTCTCCATGTTTTCAATGGACAAGAACCCTTCCAGAGGACCTGACTCAACCTTGTTAGATGTGAAAAAGAGCTTCCCGCTAACACGTGACCACGAGTCGACTGTTTGGCTTCGGATCGGCCATGCTGGTCCCTTYAGAGATAGGGTGAGGAACTCCGTCATCCTGATCAAGATTTAATTTGATCCACTGGTCGATGATTCTGACTCTTCASTGCTTCTTCATCTTTTCTAAAAAGTTCTGCATCACAAAACCGAATTCACGATTTAATTCATGGCAGGAGTCAAAGCAACTCCCAACCTTAGCATCTCCACCATGCTTCACATTTAACATGAAGTCTGTCACCTGTACACCTGCCAGGTTCTGATTTATTTGTCTCAGACACGTTAGATTCCTCGTAAAGACTTTCAYGAATGATTTCAGGTTAAACTGGTTCTTCTGGGATGTTTCTTTTGGATGCAAAAAGTCTGTTTTCATCACGCTTCAACATTCACCTTGTTGATTTCCCTTGAGATTGTAGAGACTTGAACACTAACAGCTGCAGGTGTGATGTGCAGATTTGGTTTTCTGTTCGCCCTGATTTATTCTCAGAAAAGATCACAGCGAATGTCAGTCATACAGTGAGTCTGATCTATTTAACTGATCATGGATCAAAGATTCTCGTGTCTAAAGGAGTCCAGAAAGCCAACAAGCTTCCACCGCACTTTTTCAAACCGCTGTAATCAAGGATGTTCAGGCTTACGAAGGCACAGATTCATGCTGACAGTCTCAAACCCTCATCGTCTGATGTTTCCGTCTGAAACATGCCAGAAATTGTGGCCGTGAGCCAATAAATGCAGGCAAGAAAAAATGCTTAAACAACAAAGAAATAGTTGACATTCTTGGATGGAGACGGTGCCCGTAATGGATTCTGACTGCGCAGGCTTTTCTCATTCAAGAGTGGTTTTAATTCAACGCTCATGCCGTGTTCAGTGTGAGAGGAAGGCCCGTGAGACTCAGGAAGTCGGACACAGATGAGCAAAATCCAGTTTAGGAGACAGAAGGGGCCCTTGAATATTCTCCATGCAGTCCCTGATGTCCCGAAATCAAAACAAAGCATTTATAAAGCAGGTAAATGAACAGGAAGTGTAAAGTAAACGTCTTGGACGTCTAAAGATGCTGTAATAAAAACACATTATTGGTTTGTGATAGCAGAATCATTCTGAACATGGGGTTGGGTAAAAAAATCTATAAAATTTGATCTTGGATCGATTTCATATAAATTGCGCACTACTGATTCATAGGACATTAGATTTATTTTCCCCCCACGATGTAAACCTCAGTAGTCTCGTACAAAATTCCTCACTGAATTTGGGTCTACACAAGGTTTCTTCCTATAAGACATGCACAGAAAATCTCCAAAGGGAAGCATCCTGGAGGAATCCCAATCTGATTCTAGAACCACCTCAAATGACTCCTTATGATGAGAAGGAGCAGCGCCTCTACTCTGAGCTCCWCCTGGATGACAGAGTTGCTCATCTAATCTCTAAAGGATCTCATTTTTTGTCACGATCCAAACCTCATGACCATAGGTGAGGGTTGGAGCGTAGAAAAACAATCAGCTAATAGTTAATAGCAGAACAAATTTTTCGTTCGGCCTCTTTGCTAACTTTGAAAACATTAGTGGATCAATTATCTTCTGTTAAATTAGTTTTTTTTTCAACTTTAAGTCTGCTAATAGCTAACTAACAAGCTAACATCAACAGGTTTCTGTCAGTCCCACCARTCTTCAGCTCAGAGATGAAGAAGTGCAACACAGACAGGTTCACGTGGTAAGATACAGTAATTGTACAGATTTTTTTTTACCTAATTTTGCCCTCCCAACCATCTTAATGACATTCCAATTATCGTGATGGCTCTAAAGATAATTTTAAATATCCTGTTGTGTGTGGGGTGGTCTAGAAAAGACGTTGACTCCGCTCCAACCTCAAATCGAGGATATTCATCATGTTGGACTGTCTTGGCTCAGTTTCCCAGCCTGGTGGAGATCCCTGAGGACAAACGAGCTCGCAGCCTGTTGAATGTGACGTGTGGCCAATCAGAAAGTGAGCTGATGGAAACACCGAGGGAAATCCAAAATACAGGTGACAAAACAACTGCCATGGTTCACCAGAAAGTCCAGTGGATGTCTGASATGTTTTATTGTCGCTGTTAAAAGTAGTCCACAAACKATCACCATTGCTTTTTCCTTGTTGGCCTTGTTTCTTTACTCTGAACTCACGTTTGATCTCCAGAGATTTCCTGTCTGACATCTGAATGTTCGTGAGTGAAATCTGTTTGTGTGTTGTCTTTACCATGTGGCTGTACACCACACACTGTAGGACCAATCCTGTTATAGCAYTGATTTTTATCGTCATGTGTGGGGTCTTTCAGTCTTTGAAAATCAGCAGACAATATGAAAATCTTGCCGTGTGAACTGGGCATTCRGCCCATTTTGGACTGAGAACYATGGCCTTACAGGAGCGGTCACTGATGGACAAACATCAGTTGCATCAGRAAACCTCACCTGGGAAAGTGAATCCAGAGCCAGGCCTGGAGCCAGGCCTAAGGGGAAGCTTGCCAGTGAGCACCTGGTGGTCAGGCTTTAGCTCCTGGGGCTTGGCTGGGTTAAGCCTCCACCTGGGCCTACCACCTGTGAGGAGGACCACCGTGGTTGGGTGCCATGTAAGGGGTTTCTGGCCTTGCCAATTCCTGGCAGCATAAACTATGGTTTATTTTTGTCTCCTTAAATAATTCCCACGAGTGGCTTCGACACAAGTGGATTTACAGATATTGAGCTGAAGTTTGGTGTGGCAGTTGCTGAGAATCAACTCAACACACACACACACACACACACACACACACACACACACACACACACACACA